ACATTCTCACTGGTGGTAATATCTATGTAATTGTAATGTGGATTTTGTTGATTTATTGGAGTAGACATTAATTTAGAAATAATTGATGTTGTTTTGTTGTGTGATGGAAGTTTTTTGGGATTGAAAAATTTTATGGATTGTTTCTAAATTTTTTAGAAAGTAGTTGTATCACAATTTTGTGTTTGGCATTTCACTTTTTTAATTATTCATATGGTGTATTTGTTGTGGTTAGTTATTCATATATGAAAGAATAGTTTTCGATTGCCTTAGATGCATAAAAAGTGTGTTTATTTTTTACCTTCATCCATTTTACTTGGTCATTTGTACATGTAGCATCGTTTTTGTGACAAAACATAAACACATCCAACGGATAACGTAATTCCAACATAAAAGACGGTTCAGATCATCTCAAAAATTTTGATATAATAGTCTACAATTAGTTCTGAATTTCTTTTCTCGCCCATGAAGAAGTTTGTTATCGTAAGATTCTACATTCTTATCTCTCATACTTCTCTATCTTAAATTTGAAAAAGTATAATAACAACTCAGATTGAATTCATTTTAAATTATATGATCTAAATTTCATCTAAATTCATTAAATTTAATCCAATGGCTCACAACAGATCCCACACAAAAATAAAATCCCACCAGGGCGGAGCTAGAAAAATATTTTAGGATGGGTACATTAATAAATTTTAATTATTTTTATCAATGTTATCAATGACTTAATTCAATGTAACTGTTATTTTAATTATAAATTTCAATGTTAGATGAAGTCTACTTTCAATCAAAAGGGTGCATTGAATTATGTCATCAAATTAGATCTAAATAGCATTTTTTAATTTTTTTTTTTCAATTGATCATTTTACAATTAAATTTGATTATTGTTTATCATTTAAAAGAATTACAAATCAATGATATTAATAAAAAAAAATTTCTATATACAAAATGGTAATAACAGTCTTTTATTTATTACCTTGTAATGTGTTACATTATGACGCTCATTTCTATACAATAATAAAATAATCATATAATTTAGAAAAATGAACGCAATATATCTAAAAATTATTCGGACATGTCTATGTTTAAAAATTTAAGAATAAGAGTAATAACATCTAATTCGAAATTTAATTTTATATCTTCACCAAAAAAAAATTCAAAATTTAATTGGTAGGAACTCAACGGTTTGTGACCATTGTATGGATAGTAGACGTTACTAGGGACTCACTATTAGATTTAATATCATAATGTATTAGTTCTAATATTATTATTTAAGTAATTGTCTATCTTAATCGATATCACAATAATACAATAATAAGGTTGAAAAAATTAAATATGTCTAAGTTTTATTTTAAAAATTTATATATTTTTTGTAAAAAAAATTGAGGGTTGACACAATTAAATATATCTAAATTTTATTTTAAAAAATATATATCTAATGTCAAAAAAAAAAAAATTAAGGGGGGGAACGTGCCCACCTGGTCCAAGGGTGGCTCCGCCCCTGAATCCCACTCAATTTAACTACACTCACATGTTACCAATTTTTTATAACACACAGTTGAAACTTTTTCTCTTTCCCCCATTAACCGTCTCACCTCTCTTAGTTTCTCAGAAATTATTATCATCCTCCTCAGTCTCTCATCTCTTTGTGCAGACTCCAACAATTGACAGACTTTCTTCAGCGACGCATGACATAATCTGGAGACCCACTGGACTTACCAATTTCAACCATCCATTTTCTTCTATCCAAATTGTATTGACAGTGATCCAACCTTCGAAAGTACTCTCTCTGGTACCTATTATTGTTTATCGTTGATATGTTTTTTGGTTTGGTTTAGTGGTATATATTATGATAATAGTTTTTGTTTTTAATTTTTAATGTTCGTGTGGTTTAGTTGTGGATGTGTTGTCATTAACTGAATGTTGTTAAATGTTATATGTTAAAAGTGTATTGTTTGTACATTAATTTAGGTTAGTTTTGTTTAATTTCTAATTTTACGATAAAACTTTACATAAAAATAAAAATATTTCTATTAAACACACATAAAATATATAATATCTCAATGTTTATTGCTTCCTTTTCAAAGTTTGACAGTTGAATATTTGATTTTAATAACCGCATACACACCGTCACTACAACACAAAAAATAGTACTCAAATGGATAATGTCACCATTTTTAGACATATAAGTTATTTAGTATGTCGATTTTTCAAAACCTTTGGTATAATATTTCATTAAAAACTATTATACACTTACTATATAATTTTCCATCCTTCTTATTACAAACTGATTCATACCTAGAGTACACTATAAATAGATCTTCTCATCACACATCTTAGTATCGATGATTAATGTTTACTTCTTACTTCTTATCAATCAATGAAGTTTAAATTGTCTTTATAATTCATAAATAAAATTATCAAGTTATTATTCATACCAAAAATAAATTACTACTGTATGAAAACATATAGTTCTCAGAAAATTAAAAAAAAATTCAAAGCCCAAGTTAATTAGCAATTAAAAAAAATAAGTGACCAATAAAAAAAAAAGATACTAATTACACCAAAAAAAATGTTCAAAACCAATCTAACTGTTATGTTTTGAAATTATTCAAACATCTTATTTTTGTGTATTAAAATTTTATAACTAACATACTGCTTTCAGGCACGGACAATGACTAATATATATATATATATATATATATATATATATAGATAGATACACATAACAAAGGAAGTGGGCTGAGGGAGAGACGAGTGTCCTCCTTGACTCACCTTTTATTTTACCTATTTACATACAGGTCCCCCTTAGTTTCTCTTGTTCACATAATCACCAATTAATTCCCAACCACATACCAATTCACCCCTAAAATCTTTCACCTTTTACAATTTGACACCCAAACAAAATTTTTATCACAAGATTCAACTTTTGAGGTTTATAATTCAAAATATTCCCTAACTTCCATAGTTTCAGCAACTATAATTTAACTCCCAAATTAATTATCATAAATTATATATTAACCCCTAATATTTATAAAATGTTGTGCATTTGCAAGTTCGGGTCTGACACTCTCCCCTATTTTCTCTTTCCACTGTTTATTCAAAGTACAATTACTCTCTCTCTCTCTCTCAATCCGAAATCGACATTCTTAAACGTTGCTGTATTGATACTCTAAAAGAAATACATCGAAAAGATCATAACTGATTGAAAATAAACGTTACACCAACAGTTACTTCAACATAATTGGATATCAACGTTACACCAAACAGTTGCATTAATCAGTTATACTTATACTATGATACACCATAGAGTTACACATGCATTCTGATATTTGTGTTTTTATTTTTTAACTTTGTTTGTAAAACAGAGTTTCAAAAAAAATTAAAAATACAACACAAACACATTTTTATTTTTATTTTTAGAAAAAATTAAAAAAAAAAATAGAAACAACATGTTACCAAACACAATCTAAGTTATTTAGAGAGTGGAGGAATCGATCCCTATGAACTTCGGAACATCTACTCACACATGAAGAAATCAGACAATTAAAAACATAAAGGGAGCCAGAAAAACTTAAGACCCAAGACAATGCTGTTGCAGCTAACCAAGACTTGTGCAACTTAATGTACCAAATATATATATATATATACAGAGAGAGAGAGAGAGAGAGGGGGGGGGGGGATCTAAGAAGCAATTCAGTGGGTTTAAAGAACAGATAATGAGGTGTAGAGCAGTGATTATGCCACGAGGAACGACTTTAAAATGCCTGATGCCACGACCCCAATGCATGTCTTCGATTGTATCGATTCACTGTTTTCCAACTCCTAATTATTAACAAATACAACTTACCTTATTAAGCCCAATCTCTCTCTCTCTCTCTCTGTCTCCCACTCAAAAACCACTGCACCCATAGTTTACCCAAATACCAAAAATGGCTTGGCTCTCTTGGCATTCTTTTTGAAAATCAGTTCAACTGTCCATAAAATATCAAAGAACCAAAATGACTAAATTATCCCTGACAATTTTTAGTCTTTTTTTTTTTTGGGTAATTTAAATACAAATTACATAAAGTGTAACTTTGAAATTAAGGAAAAAATGGGGTAAATGTTAGGTAAAAACATGAGCATCAAAACTCACAAGTTCAATGAATTAATATTTAGACTAATGATGAAAGTGCGATCATTAAGGATTAGATGTCAAGATTTGCATCCTATCATCATACTTGATTAAGTAATAAAGATGAACACAAGAGTTTCTTCTCATTAGAACATTAAAATTCGGAAGTCATATTAATGATAAATTATTTTTAAATACATACCCAATACACATTTTTTTTCCTTTATATTGAACGGATTTTATATACAAATGTATCATTTTATTGTGATCAATTAAGAAAAAAAATTATAGCATATAATTAGAGTGCTCACCCTAATAAAAAAATTATATTATATAATTAGAGTGCTCACCCTAATAAAAATTTATGACCTCTATTTTTTTTTTTTTTTTTTTTGCTATAAAGTGTCTAAAATTTCGCCAATAAATTGCCAGATTGAAAATGTGAATAATTTCCCTACATATTACTTATTCTCCTCTTTTAGTTGTAGGTTTGATAATTCATAAAAAGAAATATAAAAAACAAGGATTAGTCGGTGAATATTTCATTTTTTTTTTAAATGTGAACTTTGACTTCCTATGGCATGGTTGTAATATAAAGGAGTTGAAAGGTTAAATAATTAGTAACACTTGTTATAAATGAAGGCCACTCCCTCACTGTCCCTCTCCACCTTGCACAGTTTAGCCCCAATAAAGATCCTACTCCCAAGCCATGCAGTCCTCACTAGTCTCTCATTTCACCACCCCACCTCCATGGACCTCACGTGCCCACATTCTGACCCACCACCACCACCACTACTTCTCAACCACCACATCACGGCGGCCACCACCAATCTCCGCCGTGGCAGCACCACGATTACATTTATCCCCAAAAGGCACCCACTCAATGCCACCAGAGAAAGCCGAAGTCTTCAAATCACTGGAGTCATGGGCTTCCCACTGGGTCCTCCCACTGCTCAAGCCCGTCGACAATTGCTGGCAGCCTAATGAGTTCCTGCCCGACCCATCACAGTCGTCCGATGATTTCACCGACGAAGTGCGGGCCCTACGTGATCGTACGGCGGCCCTGCCCGACGAGTACTTTGTGGTGCTTGTGGGTGACTTGATCACTGAGGACGCATTACCCACCTACCAGACCATGATCAACACCCTTGATGGGGTCCGTGATGAGACCGGGGCGAGTCCAAGCCCGTGGGCTGTTTGGACCCGGGCTTGGACTGCTGAAGAGAACCGGCATGGTGATCTTTTGAGGACGTATTTGTATTTGTCGGGTCGGGTTGATATGTTGATGGTTGAGCGGACTGTGCAGTACTTGATTGGAGCTGGCATGGTGAGTATTAACTACCTAAAACTAGGTTGTTAATGGGTCCCCCTGTTTTTAAACCGGGTAATTTGCATCGTGTTAATATTTACTCAATCATATGCAACCTATTTATAAGTTACAGCTAATATTTATTTGGGTGGTGTTTTGTTTTTCGTAAAATGTACAGAATCCAGGGACCGAAAACAATCCCTACTTGGGCTTTGTGTACACGTCCTTCCAAGAGCGAGCCACCTTCATATCCCACGGCAACACGGCTCGGCTAGCCAAGGAGAGTGATGATCCAGTGCTCGCTCGTATATGCGGTACAATTGCTTCAGATGAGAAACGCCATGAGAATGCCTATTCTCGGATCGTTGAAAAACTCCTTGAAGTGGACTCCACTTGTGCCATGTTGGCAATAGCGGACATGATGAGGAAGAAGATTACAATGCCGGCCCACCTAATGTACGACGGGAGGGACCCACTTCTGTTTGAGCACTTCTCAGCTGTGGCCCAGCGGCTAGGAGTGTACACGGCCGAGGACTATGCTGATATTTTGGAGTTCTTAATCGGACGGTGGAGATTGGAGAAACTCGAGGGATTGACGGGTGAGGGGAAGTGTGCGCAGGACTTTGTGTGTAGGTTACCGCCTAGGATTAGGAAGCTACAGGAGCGAGCCGATGAGAGAGCACGGATGTTGGAGCCTCGTTCAGCTAAGTTCAGCTGGATTTTCAATAAGGAATTGACTTTGTAGATATTGCACACATGCCCCCCCAAAATAGACAATTTCCCACCCCCACCTCAAAAAGTTTACATCAATTATCTCTACTTTGTAACTTTTTTATTATTTTGTTTTGTTTTTCGACTTCTAATACAATATCAATTTAATCTACTAAATGACAATGAATAATTTTCTTACTAAAAGAATTCATCCTTACATCCACGTAATACACACACGTGTCATTTTTTTGCCTACATAAAAATTATGTTTGGAGTTGCAGAATGTATATAATGTAATTAAACCGAAAATTTTTCGATATTAAAATTACCTATCACTTACACACGCTTGCGCACACACACAAATACACTCTCTCCGCCTCTCATTCCCACCTAAAATTGCCCACCATGAACATTGGCATGTTTGCTATTAAGGTTTAGGTTGGTATAAGTCTCTGAATATAAACTATAAGGTAGAAAGAGTCCAGACCCTAGTTAATACTTTTTTTTTTTTGGCTCAATTATAATGAGGCAGTTGAATATTGGGCCCACAGTAAATGACTGCTCATATCGCATCTATACGGTGCTATTTAATACCACAGTATAGGTGGTATAAAAATCTGGTAGGTAGTACAAATCCACTCAAAGACTAAAATGGCATTCTCAAACTCTTGTCATATATAAATGAAATTCCGTCCTTATAAATAATCAAATGAAGACATCATTAATGTTATTCTTTTCAATGGGTCCCACAAACGAGCAAACAATGTCAATGACAGCAAATAAAAAATAACTTATATTTTTCTACACCATGAAGGTGGAATGAAGTAAAAATGATACTACAATACCATCCAACCCACTCAACAACGTATATGCACTCCTTTCGCTCCTCTAGGATGGTTTCCAAAGCTTTTGATAACGTTAGAGAGACTAGTCTCCAACTAACCTTCAATCTTCCATCTAACAGATATGATAGATCATATTTTATGCCCTTAAAAAGTTTACATAATTCTTTTTGGATCTGTAACTTTCTAAATTGTTCTGACTTTTAATATAATATCAATTGAGGGAATAGAAATTTTAGGGTTAGGGAGTCTGAGTTAGAGTCGCAATTTTTTCAAAACACTCCGACAGAGATAGAGTTGGACCAGACTCAAAGACGGAGTTGAATTTTCAGATTCTTGCACACCCTATTATAGACCTACATGTACACACACATGCAACAAGCATCCTGCCTCCCCCCTAAAACTACACAATGCAAGACAATGGGCTTTCTTTGTATGACAATTATGCTTAGACCTGGAAGGCAGGAATGCAAAGAGGTCTCCTTTATAATAGGAATGAAAGATGACTTGCCTTTTCATTTAGTGAATCTCTAAGGGAGGCACTTAATCGTTGCCTTGCTGCTGAACTTACCCTAGTTTTTTCTTTTCAATGAGCTGGAGATGTAACAGGAAAAATCGAGGGGTGAGGAAGCAAAGATGACAATATCCCAATGAGCCGGTATTTCCTAAATTTCAATAGAAACAAACCATCTAACTAGCTATGCTCTCATTTATATGTGAGGCTCAATATAACTTAACACACATTTCATATAATCTTGAGCATCACTCATAGCTCCAACATTATCATAATGTGTGGCTTCTAGATTTTATGATCTCCATTGTAAGTCAATCTATGGAAGCGCGACACAAGGAAAATTGAACACATAACTCTAGAATATCACAACATTAAGCAGATCCCATAAAGTCATGTATAACCTTAAACTCAGTCACCATGGACAACCCTCTGGAAACTTATTTATTGCTACTATTGCTAGAAAACCGAGGGCCTCACTACAGACTCAGAAACATTCTAGTTTTCCATGGTAATGATGCAACGAATACTTTCCCCTTTCAGCATGTACTCAAATGCTTTGTTGATCTCCGAGAAAGGAACTTGGTGGGTGATGAACTTCTCCAGTTCTAACTCCTGCAATATTAGAAAACAAGAGACTGAAATATGTTCTACAAGGGAATCAAATAGGCATAATTTGGTGTTCTAATTAAGCATTCAAGTACTACTTCCCAATGTAGGACGATAAATTAAGAGGGTTATTGTATCTATAAACCTAACTTCTACACATTGGGCCAACATATATTGGGGAATATGGACCAATGTGCATTTTCTTGTTTCTCACACAAACTCTTTGTTGCCCAAGAGAGACTTAAGCTATACCTTGTTCATGTACTTCTCCACCACAGATGGAAGGTCAGTGCGAGGCTTGTAGTTTCCGAAGAAGGTGCCCTTGAGAGTCCTCTCGTTCAAAAAATTCATGGGATGAGTTTTAAATGCGTCATCTTTGTTTGGCACACCAACTAGCACAGCAACACCCCAGCCCTACAATGAAGAATCCCAGGATTGATGATGTAGATCAATTTCTTAAGAAACTCAGATTAATTAGATAGGGACTCGAAGGCACTTACATCATGAACACATTCAAACGCAGAGATCATGGCATTGAAATTCCCAGTACATTCAACACTCCGGTCCACTCCTCCATCAGTCATCTCAGCAATCACCTGATAATCAAAATAATTAAAATTCATGTCTCGGCCTATGTTGAATTCAATAATACAAGTTATCTTGCAGGTTTATTTATAAAAATCCAAAGATGACATTTTTTTATGTAAGAGAGGAAATCAGAACAGCTTTGATCAGGTGATTATCTGGCTTGCATTGAAAGCCAATGATACATTTGGAAGAAGATAAAAGTCTTTGATTTGTAGGGTCTCCCTAAATGTTTCCGCAAGAGGGCTGGTTTTATCAGTAAATTGGAGAGGAGGAAATTCTCAATTTGGAACGTGAAAGAAACATACATGTGAGCAGGACTTGCAGGATATATGTGTTTAAACTTCCCTGCGTAACTACTAACTACCATTGTCATGCTGAATCCACACACAGAGAGAGAGAGAGAGAGAGAAAGAAATTGAACAATGCTAGGTAAACCAACCTCTTGTACAGGCTTGCTATGATCTTTGGGGTTCACAAATTCAGTAACACCAAATTTCTTGGCTGAAGCAAAGAGCAAGCAAATTAATCATCATCAAAGAATTAGCAACACCACATAGTAGGTAGCACCTAAATATCACAACATATGGAGTACAATGTGGTTTTTTGAATAACCTAATGTACTCACCTTCATTGAATCTGTTGGGATTCAAATCAACTCCAATGATCCTCGAAGCCCCAGCAATCCTTGCGCCTTCAGCAGCCTGAAAATTTTAAACACCAAAAATGGGAAGAATTGCCTCATTATTCAGCAATTATGAAAACAACTAAACATGAAAACAATCATTTACTCACAGCAAGGCCTACAGCTCCCAATCCAAAAATTGCCACAGTTGAACCTTTTTTCGGTTTGGCAACATTCAAAGTTGCACCAAGTCCTTTAAATCCAAAACAAATCCATTGTCAGAAATTTGATATTCACCAATAGAATTAATAAAAACCATCACAATCAGAAAAATCATGGTTCATTTGTCAAACCTGTGGATATTCCGCAGCTAAGAACACAAACTTTGTCAAGCGGAGCTGCAGGGTTGATTTTGGCAACACAGCCAACATGAATAACTGTGTACTCACTAAAAGTGGAGGTGCCAACAAAATGGTATATAGGCTGCCCATTCTTAGAGAATCGTGTCTTTCCATCATTTAGCATGACACCCCTATCAGTATTTATCCTGAGAAGGTCACACATGTTGCTCTCTTCTGATTTACAGTGGCGGCACTCCTTGCATTCCCCAGTGAACACTGGAAGGACATGGTCCCCTGGCTTGAGATCTGTCACACCCTCGCCTACGCTCTCTACAATTCTAATTACCAGAAAAACAAAAAAAAATGACAAGAATATTTTTTATGCAGATACAAACTAAAACCCAGAGCACCATAAGAAAAGTACAGGTCTGGCACAAACTCCGTATGAAAGTGTACAATATTTTGTTGAGTTTTTTAATCCATACCCTCCAGCTTCATGGCCAAAAATGCGAGGAAACAAAGGGGTTTGTCCCTGCAAAATAAAAAACATATTCTGGCTAAGTACAGATTATAAAATAAAAAACAAAGAAAAGAAGGAAAAAAAACAAAAGATAATCGCCAATCAAATTCAAGCGCAAGTAATAAGTAAGGTTCAGCACTTAATCTAGGTTAACCATTCAGGATCAAGAAAGCAAATATTACAAATGCATAAGCAAAAACTTCAGAAGGCACATCTTCTATATCCAACATGTAGAATTTGAGTAAATACAAGAACAAATTGCACACCGTTGATATTTTAAATACTAGCAGATGAGCAAATCATTAACTTTTTGTATAATCAGAATTGACTACTTTCAATAAAAATGTTGCATATGACCGGAAAATCAATTATTTGCAAGTGCCTTAGAAAATTGCCCAAGTGAACATGAATACAAACAAGGTGAAGTGAATTTCTTCCAATGCGGTTATACATCTTAATGGTACAGACAACATTCGATATTTATGATGAAGGAAAGTTCTATTTTGGATATGATATACAAATCAGATCACCTTGGCCTCCCAGAAATAAACGTCAGTGTGGCAAAGGGAGGTGAAGAGGATCTTCATACGAACTTCCATTTTCTGTGGTGGTGCCACCTCCACTTCTTCGATAACCAGTGGCTTTCCTGCTTCCCATGCCACCGCGGCTACAATAGATTTTCATACAATTAATCAAGGAGAAGCAAACCAATCATTAACATAAGGTAGGAGACTTAATTGACTCCACTATTGAATGAAGATTTAAGATTGGCACAATTGCGTTGTAGGATTTTACAAGAAAATCAATGTCAATTATAATGGGTTAAATAAATAATGAGTTATAAACACATTGCATAGACCTCCCAAGGAGAAGTGTACGGCATCAAAAAATAAAATTTGACACCATACCCACCATTACAAATTCCGTGTTTTTTGATTATTTTTGAGGATCATTTATAATTTTTATAGGAATTTGAAATTTAGGATCACAAGGCGAGTCAAAAAAAAGTTTTAGGGTGAGCACATGTATTTTTTTTTTTTCAATTGACCTGTAGAAGTTCATAATTTCATATTTATTGAAATTGTATTTAATACTTAAAATTTCATTAAAAATTAAAAATTGATATACATAGCATGAACACATAAAAATAATTAAAATTAAACTTTTTATCAAGAATGAGACTAATTATTATTACTTAAAATTGACCATGATATGTTTTTATCATTTGAAAGAATTATAAATCAATCTTATTAACAAATATTTTTATATATATAAAATTGTGCTAACAATATTCCATTTATGACCCTATAATTTTCTACATAATGTCATGTCTCAATAACATTATTCAAAAGTTAATAATTATTTAGATAGGGGTCTAGTCAAATTGATATCATCAAAACACAATAATATGGTGGACACAATTAAATATATCTAAAATTTATTTCTAAAAATATATACGTCTGATATCAAGAAAAAAAATTGAGGGTGCCACATGGCTCCACCCTGATCCTATGATGCACGAACACAATTGAGAAGGCACGTATCCATGTTGAACATGTGTCAAACATCGACACTTTTCAGACATATGTCTAATACTCTTTTATCTGTGCCCATTATTAAATGATAAATTTTTAATTTAAAACATATTTGGTGACGTGTCCGACACTTCTTTAGAATATCTCTACTACTAAACAATAGACATCTAAATGTGATTAACAAAACTTAATATTTTCAGAATATATAATTACTAACTGAAGATGCACAAAATGGTATTATAATAGATCAACACAAAACGGTCTTATCCAAGATCACTATCTTCTAAATATAATAATAAAAACAAAAGATGCATAAAAATTATTAAAAAGAGAAAATGAAAAAATAAAAACAATTATTTAAATTATATATTAAGTACACATTATCTACCAAAAAAAAATTAATGATTATTAACTATAATGAGGATATTTTAGTCTAAAACTTCTCTCAATGACTAAACATTAGATTTACTTATCTTAAAATTAAAATACATGCCAACACGATATTTCTAAAAAAGTAGTACATAAAACATTCTCATTATAATTAATAATCATTAATTTTTTAGAAATAACGTGTCGGAGTGTCTGTATCATGTGTATCCGTGCCCTGTGGCCATGCTTCTTGGCCCTGATCGATGGCACCGTAATGATCGAGCTCAAGTTACCACAAAAGACATTAAAAATTGTAATATGACACAAAAAAAATAGTAAATGTTTTTGTTATAAACAAACCAAAAAAATCAAAAACCACAAAAATTATAAAACTTGGAGGCACCATACCCAATTTTTTTTTTTTGAGTAGTGTTCGTTGTCGTCCCAATATTCAATAATGTACAGGGTTCCCAAATATGGCTTTTTCTTGAAAAGGGAAAGAGTGTGTGTGTGTGTGTGTGTGTGTGTGTTTGGGTGGGTATCCGTCTGAGGGTTTGCATTCTGCAAGTCATATCACTTGTGAGAAACAAGAAAAAGAAAGCTAAAACTAATTAAACCAATTGCCAATCAGTAACACACAAATATTAGTATGACAGTCAGTGAGATCATCAGAACACATAATACAAAAATACTCGTAATACAAAATGACGATCAAAACCAAGAAAGAGAAAGTTGTCTATGGAAAAGTACAAGTAAATAAGATAGAAATATTCACAGATAAAAGTTCAGAAAAAAAAAAAACCCCATTAGAGAAGACAGTAAATTGCTCCAACCCAGATCAGAAAAATGAACCGAACCACCAAAAAAGGGGAGATCGGATTGGTCATAGTCGATGGAAGCGATAATAGAAATAGTACAAGCACTTTACCTCTACAGCGAATGACTTGACCAACTGTGCTAGACATTCTTCTTCCCTCTCTGTTCCTCGTGTATTTATGTATTATAAGAGATTGACATTTCGGCAATGGTGATGATGACTATATATACTGTGAGTGTCCACCGCCATACTAGAAAATCCACAGCTGTGATTACAGGACGGGGCACACTTTTTCTCTCTCTCAATGCATTTCCAATGGGCACCTTCGGTTTTTAGCAAATGAGCCACGTGTCTTTCTCAAGTTTACAAATTTTTTTTTAGTGAATCACACAATGCATCCCAAAAAAAATTAAAAATTTTTAATTTATACCCCTAATAATTATTTTTTTCTACATTATACCCTCAATGGTATAAAATAACCACATAACAGATTTGACGAAATTATAACATAAGTTAGTACGAGGATCACATTGCAACTATTTTATAACATTAAGGTTACAATGTGAAATTTTTTTAAAATCCTTCCAAAGTGTGATTTACCTTATTTTTTGATAAATTACGTTTACTAAATTACCCTATTTATTTTGTTCAGTTTGGCAACATTTTTTTTAAAATATATTTTTTGTTTTTGTTGTTTAAATTCTTTTTTAAAGTGCATTCATTTTTACAATTTATTTTCCACTTTATTGTAATGGGAATTTACTAATTTCTAATTTTAATCACATGTATGTTACTTTACATGTAGAGATGGACACATTTATAATTGTGTGAACTTTTGCCTGCACAATTCGGCATGATTTATAGGAAACGAAGAAAAGGTGTCTCTGAAATCTTCATATCATCCCGTTTGTGAGACCTGCTCAACCCTCGAAACCATGGATATATTAGAGTTCGATTTTCTCATAGTCAAGTGATAGCCCTTGGTCTACCTTTCAAACTCATAGCAACGCACCATGAAAAGCCTTGGCACGGATCTGATTGGTCACAGGCCTTATTCTCGAAGTTTAGACTCGTATTCTATTGAAGGAACCTACTCTTTGTTTCACGAGCTTTGCTACATACTGGTTTTGCTACATACTGGTTGTTCAATTTTTCGCATAAATGCACCAACGACAAGTGGACTTCTTTAGCGGGTTGTGTTAATTCGTCCTTTAGTGCAAATAATAATACTACACTGATCAAATTTTGAAACTAAATTTAGAGTTCAAATGATATGGCAGTTTATTTAAACTTCTTTATTTGATATCATGTCATTTGAGCCCAATAAAAACTCTAAATAATATGCTGTCATATCATTTGAACTCCAAATTTAATCCTAAAATTTGATCAGTATAATATTATTGTTAGTGCGAAATGGCATTCTGCCATAATGACGAGTCCCCCCATTTCAAGGCCGAAAATTTTCACTCTTCAGGAGTTATGATAAACCAAGTTAAAGTAGCTTCCTCATCATTTGTTTGGTCCCTTCTTACATGATATCCGCATAGCTCAGTCTCGGGTTCTTGACCCATGGCAGCACAAACCGTAGTTCGTTATTAGAAAACTCTTGGGCAGCTCCCAGCCACCAATGGAACCTTGTATTGTTCTGGACTGCATATTCGATATTCACTTGGAGCTCCAAGACGGCGATAATGACAATACACCTCTGCATTATTGACATATCAAAAGTTCTGAGATTTGTGGAATTCTTTGGCCACAAGGTTGCTTCACCTACCACTTACCTGGTTTGATCTCTTCGCATTTGCTTAACCCTAAAGCTCGGCATCTTTGTTATGTTGGTGGAGCTCAGCATATACTCGTCGTTATTTTGTTTGCTATCCATGTCAAGATATCTCTTATGGGGTTATGCAAGAGTTCGGCAAATGCAAAGATAAGTGATTGCTCTCCTCACATATTTAAACCAAGTTCGAATAATGTATTGTATGCCACCATGTGAACTAGCTGAGTATTGTTTACACAACCTCACATTACACTTATGACTGCCTGATGGGACATTTTTGAGGATCAGCAAGGAGGCGACACGTGTCCTTGGCATTGGAGACATGGGACGCTCTCTCGAGTGACATGTGTCGTCCGCGGTGAGCAACCTCGACTCTGTTTGCGAGTGATACGTGTCCTTAACAAAAAAGGTGCCTCGGAGTCTTCATTACTCGACACTTGTCCTCGTCTCCCAAAGTTCCCCGAGGGTTTCTCTACCCAACACGTGTCCTTGGCGTTGGGTCCTCTGCTTCGTCAAGGTCTTGACGACTCCCTTGGGACTTGGACTAGAACAAATGGCAGAGCTCTTATAGAAGTCAAGAATGACATCACCATGTCAGAGATGGGGATGGCTTTTGATTATCAAACCCTTTTCCCAAGGAAGTCAGAATGACAAGGAAGGCAACTTGGTGACCAATAGAAAACGTCCACGTAGTACGAAGCCCAGATGACACGACATCCTGGAAGGCCATGCGCAGCCACAGTAAAAAATATTAAATGATCCCTCAGAAGGATGAGACATATTTATTGCTCAGAGCCTCGAAGAAAGAGCATTAAGTGTTTGAGAGTCTGAGCATTCAATGCATAAACTTCTTTCCAGGCAAAATGGAAGGCACTCTGCTCAAAGAGTGAGCACCACCTGCTGCCTTCTAAATGGGCCAATGAGGGACCTCCTTCCAAGGGACCCACTTGTCTGTAATGATTATCTCTATGAAGGAATAAATAGCTCTCATAAACTCAAAACAGAGGTACGACAATCATTTTCAAACAATAGAGCAATGTTTTTCCTTCCCATCTCTCACATACTAACTTGATCGTCTGAGGGGTCACGTCGAAAAACAGTCCAACGCCCTTCTAACCTTTTTTTTTTGTGTGGCAGAGTCCATCTCGACACGCTAGAATCATGCAGACTGTTGAAAAAGTAATTTATTACCATTCCATATACCATTTTTCACCTCCGTTTGCCACATGATCATCGACTTTCTAGGTAATCTCGAGTTCACCACGAGAGAGATTTTTTCATTCTTTTGTTGTGCGAAAATTACCGCGCATAGTTTGACATCGTCTATGGGAAATGACCAAGTTTACTTAAGGCAGTGACAATGGTGAATACTTGTCAGAAAAGGAAAGGTTCTCAACAATGGAACGCCAACGTACCAGCTCCTTCCATATCTAGAATAGAAGATCACGTTGAGAGCGTCAACAAGGAGTTTCGATCCATTTGAGAGGAAGAACCCACCAAACTGAACTGAGTCTTGGGGGCGAGAAAGACTGCCCCTTGGCCCATCAACTTGTCGATCTTATCAAAGAGCGATTGGGGAATCGATTGAGGTAGATAAAGGAAAATAACGTGAATTTTTTGAATAAACTCGACGAGTTTGCACTTTCCAGTGGAGGATTTCGAAGCTTACGACCGCCCAGGGAGCCCTCCATCAAGGAAATAGGAGCCGACGATTTGAGGAATCATTTGAGTGGCGAAGCAAAGGGCTCCAAGGCTTCGAAGCACCTGAGGGCCAATGGACAGAACCTGGAGGTGCCAGCCACTAAGGCCAAACCTTTGGCTTAGAATGACCTCTGTTGGAGACTGTCCGAGTGAGGGGGCGCGAAGGGGTTAACCCTCTCTATGAAGAACAGAGGAGTCAGGGGGCATGCTACCCGTCGTGACGATGGTGAATGGAAACACCATGAGGATGAGGGAGCCCTCAGGACTAGGTTGAACTCCATAAGGATGGACAAGTCCACCCCCAATGATGACACGGAAAACGAAGCTATCCTATCACCATTCACCAAAAACATCATGGAAATAAAGATACCAAAAGAAGTTTGTGGTTCCAAGATTCAAGGTTTATGATGGACGTTCTGACCCAGAGGGTCACCTTCGACAATACAAACAGATGATGTCTTTATATCACTCGGATCACAAGCTATTATGTCGGGTGTTCTTAATGAGCCTGAGCAATACGACCATGAAGTGGTTTGAGACCCTTCCACCAAATAACATAGGTTCCTGGAAGGAGCTGACCAGAGAATTCTCCGCAAGTTTCATTACGGGGAACAAGCGCCCCAAGAATGTCAAGTGAAACACTCTGTTAGTATGCCACTCGCAACTGGGAAGAAATGAATGAGGTGGAGAGGTGCTCAAAGGACATGGAAGCGGCCTCTTTTAGACTTGGCCTCTCTTAGGACATAGATCTTTACAAGTCGTTAACAAAGAAGACGCCAGTGGAAATAGGCAAGTTGATGGCCTAGATCATCAATATTCCAAGATAGAAGACGAGTTGGTGGGGGGTAAACGTAAAAACTTGGCTCTAAAGAAATATGATAAGGAGAAAAAGGGAGACCGTCCTAGGAGAGGTTTGGTCCCGGTGTCAGGGACTTCCTTCAGAGGGGTCCACACTGTATTTAAAGAACACATCTACAAGTTGTTGCATAAGATCTAGAAGTAGCCCTTCTTTAAGTGGCCACCCAAGACGTAGGGCGTTCGTCCACCAGGAACTAGAATGCAAGGTGTTCGTACCACAAAGATGTGTGGCACCTTATCGAGGATTACAAATTGTACAAATCCTTCCTGAAGAATTTGGTGGAGGAGGGATATCTCAAGAAATACATTGGGGGGAGACACCGAAGGAGGCACATGTTGTCGAGGACCATGCCGCTGTCCACGGTAACATCATTGACGTCATCTGGCCCTTGGAACGGCCGATAAACAACTCCCTTAGGTCCGACTTGAAGAGTGTAGCTTTTGCTAGAAAGGTGAGAGAGAAAGGCAAGGGCCAGCCAAGTAGGAGGCCCTAGACAGATCTAGGGGGGATCACTTTCTCAAACGCCGACTTGGAAAGTGTGGTCCTCCCCTGTGAGGATGCCTTAATCATAACTTTGTAGATTGGAGGGTTTGACGTCAAAAGGGTCTTGGTGGACTCGGGGAGCTCCTCGTAGGTGATGTACCTTGATGTGTTGAAATGAATGGGCCTTGGATCCAAGGATCTTACCACCGTCAAGACACCTTTTGTAGGGTTCAACGAATCGTTCACCCTTATCGTTAGGGAAGATCACTCTGTCGGTCACCACGGGACCTGTCACGATCGACAAGGAGTTCGTGGTGATCGATTTTGATTCATCATACAACATAATCATGGGACGGACTTGGTTGCGCTCGCTTAAGGTAGTGCACTCCACTTACCATCAGAAGTTGAACTTCCCCACTCCAGAGGGGGTAATGGAGATTTGTGGAGACCAAGCTTTGGCAAAGAGTTGTTT